ATAGCCTACCGTGACACATATTAAAATAAGTTACATTTTATAAATCTGATATTCTACGTCATTCATGAGATTAACTTTTCATATGCCTTGAAACATAAGAACCATATTCGCAACATCATTTCAGACGTAATATCTTTTTTCGGAACACAAATGAATAAGTCTTATAAATGCCATAAGTTGAAGCTTTATAATATTTTTATTTATACATGTATTATGTTATTAAGGCTGCAAAAAATGGTGTTTGATAAAGAAGTTAGTCAGTGCAAGATTTGAATGGAGAACTGGAATCGATATTTCGGTTTTCCGGTACTGTTGTGAGTAGGCGTGTTGTTTACCACCAGGTCGCTTACCAGTGACTTATTTACCCCGTCAGAGGATATCAAAAATAAATCAATATTACTGCAAAAATTTATTATGCCTAATTCGCACTTAATTTAGAGAATGTTAAAAACAATGATCTTGTTCTATAATAACATTTGTAAGCAAAAATAGAAATATTTCATTAGTAAATATTATAATTATTAATACAAAGATCGAACACTCAGAAAAATTCCTTCGATCCGGTCGGATTCGAACCGACGTCTTCTTGCATACCGTGCCAGACGCTATACCAACTAAGCCACGGAACGAACCAACGGACCTCACGAATTTTTCTATGTGCTTGCGTCGTGTCTTTGTACTTGGTCTTTCAACGACTTTTTTTTTAGTCGTAGCGCCATCTATGAGAAATCTATTACAGATTTATCACCCATCATATCAGAATCCGACCGGATCAAAGGAATTTTTTCTGAGTGTTCGATCTTTGTATTAATAATTATAACAAACTAGTGGAGTAATTTCACAAAAAATAATTGAATATCAATTCAATAAAAATTTAATTAGTAAATATTAGTTAAAAGATTTGAAGTATTTTTTTTTTAAGATAAGCCACGAGATCAACAAACCGTGCGCCTGGTGGTAAGCGACACGCCTGTCCACAGCAGTTGCAGTGTCAAGCTGTGAAGCTTTAAATCGCAAAGATCTGAGGGACACTGCCACTGCGCCTGCCACCCTGAGACATGATTTAATAATGCCTGCAATTTCACCAGCTCCTTTATCCTTCAACCCAGTTACTGCTTGGCGACAGATGTAGGAGGTAAGGCACCCTATAATACAACAAAAGACAACAAAATCAATGTAACCGAAACTACCAATTCACAAACCTGTAAAGAAACATTGAGACCTGCATACAGCAGCTACACATGTTTCCTCTGACAGATAGCGAAAAAAGATTACTCTGATATTATGAATCCCGTCAAAAAGGGACGACCCCTTTTATTTTTTACCCGGGTCCCAAAACTCGTATAGCATGAAATTTATCATGTACCGTCTGTATCTGTGATCGTAGAACGGATTTTTCCGTAATGTATTTTTTTGATGAAAACTTTTGTCATGCCATTTCAAAAGGTTGGGGACGAAAATTTTTCATTTTAATTTCGCGGGTGCGATGTCAAACAGTCCTCATCCATGCGGCCCGATGACCTGCTGAGGTCTGTTGGCTACAGACAACTCGAGTGTCTTGGAATTAGATGTTATATTAGGACTTGCTGTTTGTTTTTTATTTATTATCCATAACAAAATAATGTACAATTAATGTACATGGTTCTTAAATGTAACCTACCTACTGCAATCTCTTTAACGGGGCTACACGTAGGTGGTTACAGTCGTCACAGAGTGGTTCTGTGGGATCTTGAGAATGAGGTGCCTGTACAATAATTCACGAAAAGTTTTATCGCAATTGGATGAAAAATAATGGAAAGCATACGGGACAAACATATATTCATTTATGTTATACTTACACCTAGGTTTTTTTCTTATATAATATTAAGTGACGGGACGAACAAGTCGTATACCGTTGGTAACCTACACGCCTATCCATAACAGTTGAAGTACCACTCAGAGCTTTGAATCACAAAGGTCTGTGGGGCACTGCCACTGTGCCCGTCACCCTGAGACATAAGTTGACAAGTCCCATGTGCCTATAATTGCGAGCAGGTAATATAATATGAATTAAAAAAAAAACTTAGCTATCCATGGAAATGTAAGAATTTAATTAATATTTTAATCATGTTCAACGGAATCGGGAATATATCAATTAACACGTTAACTGAGCAGCAAGAGCTATGTATGAATATGTATTAATTAAATTTAAAAAATATAAATTATACTTAATATGTTAAATTTGAAAAGCTGCTTATTAAGTATTGCTAGACATTTAATAAGGTTTCAAATTATCTTAAGACTGTTTTTGGAATTTCTTAACCATATTTTTTTAATTACGTACTCGTAATACATTAAGCTTCTCGACTAAAAACATATGAGCAGTTTTTAATCTAACCAGTGAACTTCTAAATATTTTATATTTTGTAAAAAACTGAAAACAGTTCTGATTTTTCAATGTAAAGTGGGTGGCAAATGAGGAACGGAACTTCTAGTTGGCTAACCAGCATGGTAACCGTTCGGCCACTGAGGCAGTTAAACCCTTTTAGAAGAACCCCGTGGGGTTGGTTGGTATGACGTGTCATAGCACAAAGGAAATACGAGTACTTCGGGAGGGAGAGCAATCAACAACTTGCAAGTTCAAGGAAGAAACGATCGTGATGCCCACGTGATCTTACAATTATGCGTTAAACTTACATTTCATCTTAAAGCACATATCGTTTAGATACTTCGTAAACTAGTGAGTGATTTTAGTATGCCGTAACTATTGAACAATTTTAAATAGAAACAGAATGTATCTAACCCAGACTGGCAAGACATAGTTTGCCCGTTTCAGACGTGTACAAGCGACAAGATTGCCGGAAATACAATTAGTTGTCTGTGTTATTTTTGATTACCTTGTTGTTGGAAACAACAGAGACATTTCTCACGATTCAAAGGCTGTTAAAGTGCATTACTTTTTTTTATAATTCAAAATGAAGGGACGAATAACAGTTGCTGTGCCACTTCGAGCGTTAAGAAGAACTTTAGAATATTTGGCCTTTCTTTAGGACGTCCTTAATTTGGTCATGGTAAAGTTCGCCTTGGTCGGCCTTTACCAACTTACCCGCTCACATTCGCCTTATAAATCTGCATCGTCAAACGTCGTTCATTCACTCTCTATACTTTTTTATGATATCAAGTGACGGGACACACAAGTGTTACCAGCAAGCAAGCGACATACCTGTCCACAATAGTTGTAATTCCACTCAGTTTCCTGGCCACTTATTTTTAAAATTTTGAACCGTTCTTGAATTCCGTTTCCTTCACTATTCCTGCATTTGTTCTATCCGTCGTCACTGCCATCAAAATTTTTGAAATGAGAAGACATGCCCATAAATCACTAATCACTTCACATCAGTTACTATAAATTATGTAGTTATAAGGCCCTTTTGGAGTGAGTATTGTGTATTATGCTAATTAGTTGAAAAGGAAGTGTTTTATTGCATCTACCTTTTTTGTGTCGTATTATTGTTTGTTACCGTTTTCTTTTCTTCTTTTATCATCTCTTACAATAAATATTTTAGACTGAGTCCTCAGTATTCTCATTTCGCTAAAACTAGGCCATAAAAGTTACACGAAGAGCTATTGAACGTATTATTTTTGGTTCGGCATCAAACCTATGGACTGAATTTCAGATTGAAATCGGAAATGCGTAAATGAACTAATATCCAGGAAATATGAAATCGGATCTCGCAACTGAATGGAATTGGGAAGAATATTTTGTGATAACATATGGAGTAAGGTTACAACTGAATGGTGGCCAAGATCTATTTCGTCGCTAACAGAAACGTGGGACTTCCTGCAATGAGATGAGCAAACGACATTGAAAGTCGAAGGCTTTAGATGGGTAAAACTAGCACAGGATCGTCGTGTAAAGAACAAACTACATGAGGTGAAGTCCGGCTGTTGATAATTATGCTGACTATTTAGGGTCACTAATAGTGTCCATCATAAACTCAGTATTAGTCTCAGCACAACAACCTTCATAATATCACTGTATGGAAAGAAAACTGGTCGTAAAACGTGTTAATTTTTACGAAACACAAACATTGCAGTCAAAAAATATTTATGTTTAGAAAAGTTGTCGCTTTTGCTTTGGGGGAAGTACTTTTGCATTAGATTGTACATTGTAAGATTTTATGCCCTTATGTTGAAATTCTAACACGTAAAAGAACACGATATCGAGTCATGACCACCGACTTATCGTAAGCGACACTTAAACAGCGTTTTTTATTGTAAATCATCAATCATGTTATTATCATGCAAAATTACATCATATAGAAATAGCAAATGCTGAGTTTATAATTAGCTCAACTGTTTTTTTTATATTTTAGTGTAACCGAAAGAATCACTAATAAAGGTCATAACTTAAGCGATCCTACTTGTTATATCGCAACCGACATTTTACATCACAATTTCGTCGTTTACTGTAAAGAAAGTGGCAAAAAATGTGTTGCATCTTATAGCAAGGAGATTGTAAGCGTTAAGAAAGGCTTAACATCCATTTATGCTTAAATAGGAGATAAAATTTCATATGTCATTTATTTCATTTAGTTCGAATTATTTTTAAGTATTACAAGACATGTGGCTTTATTGTATCAATAACAACAAACATATTACTACTGCCTTCTTAAGCCACTTGGATGCTTTGACGCGATGAACAAACGAAATAGATTCGTGGGCAATAATTTACTTGTCGAGGCTAACCTCTCAAGCCTCAAACACCGCCCGTTGAGTATCCTTATTAAGATACATTTTAGGTATTGCCGGTTGGAATACATTACGATATTACACCCGTTGCTATCCGTCACTGCCACTGTTAAGTTTATGTTTAAGCTGTTGATGTTCCTTCAATGCGCCCGAAGCATATTGCTTTTTCGTTCATTATGCGAGGAATAGGAATTTTCCCAGTGAACGTCACTTAATGAATTATTTATGAACACGAGCTTAAAGCTATTTTTTTAAAGTGTATCGCTCACCTGTATACGGGATTGTTGTCTCTATACCACACGACGAGTAGTAAGCTGTCATTTCGCATCGGCGGTCTCGAGTCGCAAGCCAATTCCGCATCCCCTCCAACCACCGCTGCTACCCGCGTCACTGTCCCTGTGACTGTAGACAACGAACTTCCTGCAAAGACAATGGGAGTTTACATTGGTAAGGGAATAGAAAATTGACGTGAGATGAAAGGAACTTAACAGCTATTCTTGTTCCAAGCGAAATGTTCGCTCACTTTAAAAGTTTTCTTTATATAAACTTTAAAACTAGAACTTGTATTACATTTAGGGGGTCACATACTTATCGGCCTAGGCAGGACAAAAAGCTTATCTCCATGTAATAAGAACGATACGAAAGAAAAATAATTGAGACTTTCACTCCCGGATGGACTGTCGACGCTAAGAAACCCCCAATATTAGCGTCTTTCAAGGGTCAGCTTCTTGCCAACGCACGCATAGTGTCGACACGACGTCCATGCGGCGTCGACGCAATGCCATCGCGGCGTATACCCGACATTCGGCATTATTCACCAGTCGTTCAGTCACACACAAGTACTTACCCTTCAAAACTGGAAAGCAGTAATGCTCACATTACACGGATATGCAACTTTTTCTAATCGACTTAATATGAGTCAGTGTCGATAAGTACTCGCCTGATGTATAGTGCTAAAATAAACCTGGTTTGTAGCTTTATACACATTCCCATAGAAATTATTTTCTATGGGACTGTGATAGTGTTCCATTTTGTTTTCTTTGTAGCCAGTAAAAAACAACCATTTTTTTAAACTTGGATAAATGTGACTATATATTCTGCGATAAAAAAAGCAACACGAACGAACCTTAAGACATTTGGAACGCAAAGGCGTTAATTAAACAAATGGGAAAAAACAAGCACCTAAACAAACAGGAAAATGGGCAATATCAAGGTTAATAAATATTGTTAAAAGAGCCAATGTTTACTATAGGTAAATACTTTAAAACTTTTTATAGTAAAAATAACGTTATAATTTAGCAATCTGTCTTTCTCGTAAATACCAGTATCGGAGTTTCGCATTTTAGTAATGTAAATAAAAAATATTATTTCATTTTGGTGAGAGCCAGCCAAATCCGAGTGTTTATCTGGGGAAAGCCTCGTACGGTACGGTGTTACCTTGCGAGCGGGACAAAATCCCCGCGTATGTGGTTCAAATGAAAAGAGGAACCGTTTTGTTTAAATGAAATTGAGAACGAAGGTCTTATCACACTAGCTCAATAGTTTTCAATCTTCAGTTCATTTCATTTCGTTCTAGGTTTTTTATTGCATGCACTTTTAAATTGAAAGTGAGATTTGGAATGAGGAGCCGTGGTAGCCTAATGGTTTGACCTACCGTCTCTCAAGCACAGGCAGTGAGTTCGAATCCGAGCTCGTACCTTTGAGGTGCTCGGAATTTATGTGCGAAACTTAATTTGAAATTTACCATGAACTTTTCGGTAAAGGAAAACAACCCGCATTCGGCCAGTGTGGCGGAGTATGGCCTTAACTTTATGGCGGACTAAACCCTGCTTGAGAGGAGATCCGTGCCCAGCAGTGGAACGTATAAATGTGGTAATGATGAAATTTAAAATAAATTACTTTATTTATGTTGAATATTCATGAGACATATTTAATACAGAAACTGTCATAGTATTTTCATTAGCCACTTACAAAAAAAATGTTTAATTAACAAAAAAATTGTTACTGCAAATAAAGATCGTAACTAACTTAAATGTAACTTTTAATACACACATACACAATCATAGTCAGATTAGAGATTTTCGTGTCATTTATGAAATTTATAATTTTATATTATGTACGTAATTACAATGCTAAACCAAAAAACTTAAATACAATAGGTTCTCTTCAAATAGATGAAGTTATTACTGTCGAGTTAGGAAGTCCTGTATCTCAATGTGTACCTACTGCCTTTCCCCAGGTAAAAGCATTCTGCGAGCCATTTGCGAAGTAAGTGATCAATATTCAAATGTGTTTTTAAATTCTTAATTTAGTCATCAATAAAACGATCTGCATCGGACCCGGTACCGGAAACTATATCACATACCTATATAACATAACGTACTACTAGCTGCTCTAAAATATATTCTATCGGCAGGCTACTTTGCTTAAGTGGTAAGACCTGGATAAAAACTAAAAGTCTAGCTAAAAGCTAAATGTTAGTGATACAGGCAATCGGATCGCAGTTGGACATAAATAGTAACTTCCGAAATCGTAAGATAAACAGATGAGTTTAGATTTTTTTCTTTTTATGTTTTGCTTTTGCTTGGTCTTTTTATTTTTTTCTTTCTTTGTATTTCTGTGTTGCAAAATAATAAGTGTGATACCAATACTTCCCTGGACAAACTCTTTCACAAGAAACTATACTGCTACTATTTGTAAAAGCTGTGTTCTGTTATAAGCACACACATACCCAAAGATTCATATTATATGTACGTGAATGTAACACGTTTTCCACCACGTAGTCTCACCAACAGCCTTACTCTTTATAATCTCAGTACAGAGTTACGTTTTCTTCAAATCGGAATGGGACTGAGGTACCCTTTCCAACGAAAAAAATTATCAATATCGGTTATGGCGTAACGTACATATACATACAAAAAAAATGCAGTAGAATTGAGAACTTCCTCCTTTTTTAAGTTGGTTAAAAATGGTTCCTATTGTATTCTAATGTTTACAAAAATATATAGAAAATAATAACCTAAGAAACGTTCTGATGTTGTCCAGATAAAAAAAATGAAATACTAAATTATATGGTGCTAATTAAAACAAACTTGTATTCAGCAGTAATTTCGATTCTATTTTTTTATGATACCGAGTGTCGAAATGAACAAGGCGTGCACTTGGTAGTAAGCGACTTACCTGTCCATGGCAAATGCAGTGCCATTTAGGCTCAACCCACACTGGCGTAAAGTCGAAGCGTCCTTTTTTTCAACTACAACGCCTGGCGACACGCGTCGACGCGTGACGACGCGCGTTTTTATATTTGCATAACACTTATTTGTACTTTAAAAATGGGAAAATAGAGATGAATATGCTATAGGCGACAAACATGACGCGTCGCGACGCTTCGACTCTGCGCCAGTGTGAGTTGAGCCTTAGACCTTTTAATCTCAAAGATTTAAGAAGCACTGCCACCGCGCCCATCACCCTGAGACTTAAGATGTCATGTCCCATATGCCTGTAATTTCAGCAAAATAAACCGAATAAACATTGAAAATATCTTAATTTTAATTTTACCACCAAATAAGAAATAATGTTGTTTTGAAGATCGCAAGTCTGCCACAAGAAGATATTTAACAATGGTCTACAGATAAATCGTCTGGACGGCAAACTTGGCCCATTTGGCACCGCGCCTGAATCAGCAGGCAAGTGATAGGTTTACAAAATTAATGCCCTAAGACTGAGACTGTTCTTGTTATGGATACAAGCGAGAATATTGCCCAAGTTTGCGAGTTAATATGACTTGGATTGGACAAGCTTGTGGTATGTAGGTTAATATATATATTGTGGAAATGCATGTTGTTACTTCAAGCGCGAATATAGTTCCACACTGACGGAGAAAGCTATTCATAATCTACACCTATTATTAATCTGATTAAAATAGCTTCAAACCCTTTTAATACATTTTACTGTCTTTAAATCATATAAAATTAATATAGTAGCAGTAGAGCTCCTTATGAAAGAGTTCCTTCTGGGAAATACTGCCACTTTACAAATATCTACCGCCAAATACTGCGTTTCGGTTTTGAAGGGTAATTAATCGTCCTGGTGAAATTACAGGCACATGGAATTTGACCATTTATGTCTCAAGGTGATGAACGTAGTGGCAGTGTCCCTCAGGTCTTTTCGAATATAGCTCTGAGTGTCATTATAACTATTATGACTAGGCATGTCGGCGGTAAGTGGTACGCCTGTCTATAACACTTGTTTGGCCCTTCATTTGGTATCATAAAAAAAAACATGTAGGGATAATCAATGAAAGAAGATTGACAAAACAGAAACATACGAAAGAGTATGAGCGTGTAAGTTGGTAAAGGCTGACCAAGGCGAACTTCTCATGACCAAATTGAGGATATTCTAAAGAAAGGTCTTGTTAAGACTACCCTTAACCGATGAGTAAGTATAAAAGCGCTGATGCGTATTGATGAGGCGAAAGAAACGTGTGTCAGGACCATGGCGAGTGGAAGGCTGTACTCTCTGTCTATCCCGACGTGAAAAAGCGTGAAGTATACTGCCCTCCTAGTCGTAATAACATTTCATAAACTTACCTGATTTTTTCATATTTTTACTTTATAATTCCAAGCGACGGAACGAATACGTCGTGCGCTTGGTGGTAAGCGACACGCCTGTCCATAACAGTTGCAGTGCTTTACAGAGCTTAAATTACAAAGATCTGAGCGGCACTGCCACTGCGCCCGGTACCCTGAGACAACGAGTTGACAAGTCCAATGTGCCTGTAATTTTACCAGTACCCTTACCCTTAAACCGATACAAAGTAATGCTCACATTACTGCTTGACGGCAGAAATAGGTAAGGTGGCAATGTTTGCCTGGACCAACTACACACAGCGATTTTGAGCAGCGATGCAAACGCGATGCCTACGCAATACAAACGCGTCTGCACGTTTTAATTTAATTAACTAATTTATTTATTTAATGTATTTATTAATTTCACTATTAAATTTAGAATGAACAGAACAAAATAATGTGCTACACAGATTTTTCGTACATAATTATTCAACATAAGAGACTGTATCGATGCACGATCTTTTCTCGAACGCGCATTTGCATCGCTGCTAAAAGCCGCCGTGTGTAACCACTCTTAGGGTCGTATTCTAGAACTGTACTCAATGCTCAAGTCTGGATTTGAGTATGGTTTAAAGCACTCGAAATCATACTCAAGTCCCTGCCATTAGAGTCGTATTTCCAGTGCTAGTGTTTCAATTGCAATCCTGACTTAAGCATTGAGTAGGGTTCTAGAATACGACGCTTAGAGAGTGATTAGATATTGGCATCTAAAGTATTTTGCTAATAAGCAATGTCAATTACGCTGATTTTACTTAACAATAAAACTGAAACTAAATAAGATAAAAAACCGAC